CACCCCCAGGCTCCGCACCCCCAGGCTCAGCGTCCCCAGGCTCAGCACCCCCAGAAGCAGCACCCCAAGCAGGACCTGAGTCACCAGTGACCTCAACCGGCGGAGGCAAAGGAGGAGGGTCTACCTGAGACACACCTGAAGGAGCAGGACCGGGAGCGGGGAGGGGGTCTACCTGGGTAGCACCTGGAGCGAGGAAGAGCGGCGAGGGGGGGAGCGGGGCAGTGCGGTAGGGGAAGAGACGGTAAAAGGGAACCGACTCGTCGAACGTGACGTCCTGAGACGCAAAGACACGGCGCGAGGTGGGGTGGTAAAACTGCCAACCAGGCGCGTCAGGGACAAAGCCAAGGAAGACACAGGGGACAGCGCGGGCGGAGAGCTTGTCCGCAGTGGTATCGCGGACAAAGGCACGAGAACCCCAGACCCGGAAACGCGACGCATCGCCAACCTCCCCCGTCCACAGCAGTGTGGGCGAGGTCTCCGGCAAGGAGACACGGGGCCAGAGGTTGAGCTGATGCGCGGCGTACCGGACCGCAAACGGCCACAGAAAATGGGGGGCAGCCGCATGGACCATGGAGGTACGAGCGACCTCCATGACCAAGCCAATGCGGCGCTCAGCAACCCCATTCTGCTGCGGAGAGGCCGGAAGCGTGAACGACTGGGTGATGCCGTGCTCCGCACAGTAGGCTGCCAAGAGGTCGGAGGAAAACTCACCACCTCTGTCAGAGTGCAGACGCAGGACGGGAAACTCTGTCCCGAACCGCCGGCGGAGCTGGAGACGAGCAGCGCGGATCCAGGGGATCAAAACAGCAGGGACCTCACCCTTGGTGCGCAAGGGGAAGACCGTGGTGTAACGCGTGTAGTCGTCGACGACCAGCAGGAAGTACCGCTCGTGGTCCTGTCCACGGACGCGGGCTGGGCCCCACACGTCCAGGTGGAGAGTCTGCAAGGGAGCCTCTGTGGGAGGGAACGAGGAGTGAGGAGCAGCGCGCTGCCGCCCCTCGACACAAGGAAGACAGGGAGGAGCAGGCGAGGGTGGGAGGGGAGGGAGAACCCGGGGAAGACCAGAGACAAGGACACGACGGTGCATGCTGCGAAGGCGCTGCACCGAGGGGTGACCAAGGCGGTGGTGCCAAAGGAGGGTCTCGTGCGACAAGGCGCGACACAAGCAGGGGGCCGACAGCTGACCTGACGCAGACGCAGACGCAGCTACCTGAGGGGACTCAGTGGTCAGGGTGTACAGGCTCGAGCCAGGCTCACGGGTGAAAGTGGCCAGGTGTCGGCCCGTCCGAGCACACGTACAGTGAGTCACCCGCTGACGCGCAGGAGTGAACTGGTCAACCCCCCCATCCTGGAGGTCAGCTCCACTCACCAGGTTCGTAGAGAACGAGGGGAGGTAGAGACCTGACAGCAAGCCAGACGGGGCGGCCGGACACGGCAGAACCGTGGAGTAGTGGGCAAGGACTGGACCCCCAGAGGGGTCTGCCAGGGAGACTGCAACCGGCCGACTAAGCGGCGTAAGTGTGGTGCAGTCGCGAAAGAAGGAGCGGGAAGCTCCTGAGTCAAGGGTGAAGGTGTGTAGGGTCGCAGCAGGCGAAGAACCAGAGAGGGCAGACTCACCAGGACCTGGAGCAGCAGCCTCACCAGCACCTAGAGCAGCAGGCTCTATACCTGGGTCAGGCGGCACACACAGGTAACAGGCACGGTCAGCACTAGTAGGCAATGCATACATGGCAGTGAGAATAGCATCATAGTCAAGAGCAAATATATCTACTCTCTGCCTAAGTAGCTCCACCCAGTCGGGGAGCTCAGCCCCGTCGCCAAACTCGGTACGCCAGGCGTCGCTCAGACGGGCGAAGCAGCGGGACTGCGTGTGACTAGGTGTCCCGCAAGGCTGACCAGTCCGAGCACCAGTGCGAATGACGTAAGAGCAGCGAACAGAACTGAGAGACCCTCTACTCTGAGCGTACCACTCACGAAGCTGCTGGGGCGTGCGAGACTCGCGTGGACGACAGTGTAGCTGCATCTGGCCACCGCCAGTAGCAGCAGCAGCAGTAGTGGCAGCAGTAGCAGCGCGGCCACCCCTACAACCCCAACTAGCGTACCACTCACGCAGCTGCTGGGGCGTGAGGGACTCACGCGGACGTCGCTGGGGCTGCATCTGGCGTCGGCCAGTAGCAGCAGGTCAGGCAGGCAGGCAGGCAGATGGCGCGGCAGCGCGCTAGCAAGGCAGGGGCTCACCAGTGGCAGGAAGAGCAGGCTCTCACCGGGCGAGCAGGGCCGGTGCTCGGCGGACGGCGGCAGGGTCGGCGTACGACGGCGGCGACAGCAGGGCCGTGGCAGCGGCTACAGTGAAGGGCCGGATCGAGTCAGCGGCAGGGCAGGGCCGGGTCGTGGCAGCGGCAGGGCAGGGCCGGGTCGTGGCAGCGGCAGGGCAGGGCCGGGTCGTGGCAGCGGCAGGGTGGGGCCGTGGCGGCGGTAGGGTGGCGCGAGCCGCTGCCGGGGGCCGTGCACTGGCGGGTAGGGCGCGGCGCGGGCCGCGCGGACGGCGCGCAGCGCGCTGCGGGCCGCGGACGCGCCGCGCGGGCTTGGGGCGAGCTGCGCGGGGCAGCGGCGGGCCGCGCGCGCGTCGCGCGGGCTCGGGACGGGCTGCGCGGGGCAGCTGCGGGCCGCGCGCGCGTCGAGCGGGCTCGGGACGGGCTGCGCGGCAGGCAGCGCGACGGCGGGCAGCGCGGCAGGCAATGCGACGGGCGGGCAGCGCGGCGAGCGGGCAGCGCGGCGGGCGGGCGGGCAGCGCGGCGTGAGGGCAGCGCGGCGAGCGGGCAGCGCAGCGGGCGGGCAGCGCGGCGTGCAGCGCGACGGGCGGGCAGCGCGGCGAGCGGGCAGCGCAGCGGGCTGCGCGACTGGCGGGCGACGCGGCAGGCAGCGCGACGGTGGGCAGCGCGGCGGGCAGCGCGGCGGGCAGCGCGACGGGCGGGCAGCGCGGGCGCACGAGGGCGCTAACGAGGGGCGCGTGAAGGCGCTAACGAGGGGCGCGCGAGGGCGCAGCGAGGGCGCGCGAGGGCGCTAACGAGGGCGCGCGAGGGCGCTAACGAGGGCGCACGAGGGCGCAGCTAGGGCGCAACGAGGGCGCATCGAGGGTAGGGCGCGGGGTAGCGTGGTAACCGCATGCGTGCGACGGTGGGCCCTAAAAAAAAAAACAGATCGGTAGGTCCTAGGGACCTCCTGCTCTGAAACCATGTTAGAATCACAAGCAGGAATGGATGAACTAACAGCACGCATGAGTACATATGGTGAACCCTAATTGGGTTGTACCTCATATGGGCTACCCCACTACAGCCTAGACAATATGCTGCATATATGTTTGACAATTAGCCCCTCACTTATGCCTAAGTTTCGACAAAGGGCTCCGTTTGGGCCTTCCCCTGAATCCAAGTTTTGATTTCTGGTTCAAAGAACCCCCTCATTCTAATTCCTGCCTCCCCCACCTGCCCTCCCCCAGATATTTTTTGCCTGCTATACATTTGCTGACGATGTAGAGACGGTAGGCGTGTAGTTTAGTTGGTGTGCCTCTTTCTGCTGCTAAGTAATAGGATCACAAACCTTGTTTTATGAGGGCAAAGGACATGTTTTCAAGAAGCCCGGATTTAAAGTTTTGAATTCGGCCTGCGCTCGTGAAAATCAGGGCTAGAATTGGAGCAGCTGAGAACTCAAAGTGTTGGTCCCAAACACTTCGACAGGCCTGCACGAGACTTTTGAAGCAGCGCTTCACCCTCACGCTGCCGTCCGCGAGCGTCTAGCTACATTGTGTAGTGCAGGGCTGTACTAGCTAGCTTGTGCTTGACATACTGCCGTCCTCCAGCTTCCTACATCATGTTTGATACGGTTTAATACGGTTATTTGAGATGAGGCGCTGTTTTAGGCTCCCAACATCTAGAACACAGCGCACAAGTATGAACTTTTCAATAGTTGCGATTAGAAAAAAGTACACTACCGTCTTCATTTCAGTCTAATCTCAACAATATTAAAGCCCGCGTCCCAAATTGCGGACCGCGAGAGTCAAGTTTTAAAAACTTGACAAAGTTAGTGTCCAAGCTTTTGAAAGTCACGCACCTGCAATTTGGGACTATCTAAGACGGATTCACTTACCAGGGGGGAAAACGAGGGTTGGCTGGGTCTCGCGAAAAAAGCGAGCCTAGACGAAATTGGAAACTCTCGCCAAAGCCCTCACCAGAAAAACTCCCTCCGGTCAACTTTTAAAACCATGAACAATAAGGCCCGCCGGCTTTAAACATATACAGCATGATGAGCAAAGCATTGTGGCACAGGTATACAACACTGTGATCGAAACCCTAAAGCCCAAACGTCAAAATTCTGAAACACCAGTTGTTTCAGTCTTTTCTAAACTGGTACTTGCAGCAGTAGCTAAGACACGAATTTCAGAAGTACTCATCCTTGTGGTAGCTTCGATCTGCCTCTGCCTGCCAACCTGTCGGGCGGACAATCAGCAAGCAGCAGGGAGCAGGCAACAGGGAGGGAGCAGAAAGGACAAAAGGTGTTTTGACCTAGATTCAACGCTATTAGTGCAGCAAGAAAGAACCAGATTCAGAAGTACTCATCGTTGCGGAAGCTTCGATCTGCTTCTGCCTGTTAACCTGTCGGCAGGCAGGAAGCGGGGAGCGGGAGGGAGGACAGAGGGTGCATTGAGGGAACAAGCATGAGGCGGAATGGCAAAGATGGCGGAGTTTACTTTTGAGAATTCTCAAAAGTAAACTCCACATGAATGGCAAAGATAGTGAAACATTACGAATGGTACTCGTGCTCGTATGATGTGATGTTTGGTCATATGCTCGTATGATCGGTTGCTGACTTGTACCAATGTATGTTGACTTGTGTCAACCACTTGTGTTGACCTGTGTGTACCTTGGTTGACCAGCTCTCTGCTCTGACTGGTGTGGCGCCATCGCCAGCACAGCAACACGAGAGTGCATCAGCATACAGGGTTACCTTTGTTGACCAGTTGTGGAATTTTGTTGACCCGTGCTGACTTGCATTAACCTGCATACCTTGGCTGACCAGCTCCCTGCTCTGGCTGGCGTGGCGCCATCGCCAGCAGAGGAAGATGAGAGTGAAGCAACACATAGGGGTACCTTTGATGACCATGACCTGTGTTGACCTGCATTGACCCGTGTTGACTTGCGCGTACCTTGGTTGACCAGCTCCCTGCTCTGGCTGGTGTGGCGCCATCGCCAGCAGAGGAAGATGAGCGTGAAGCAGCAGACAAGCACAGCGAAGGATGCGACTGCGATGCCGATGATCGCCCCGGTCGGCATGGCTGGAGAGGGGAACGGGGGGAGATGTTGGCATGCGCTTTAAAAATTAATGAATAAGGAGATAAATGAAGATGAGTGTGAAGCAGCAGATAAGCATAGCGAAGGTTGCGACTGCGATGCCGATAATTGCCCCGGTCGGCATGGCTGGAGGGGTGAATGGGGATAGATGTTGGCGTGCGCTTGACAGAAGTGAGGAATAAGGAGATGACTGAGAATGAGAGTGATGCAGCAGACAAACACAGCGGGAAAGGTTGAGCATGGGTGGGAGTGGCAGGGCATGGGAGGGAATGCGAAATCCAGCCCTCCCATCACTTCGAGACGACTAGATACTCAATGTCACTTACTCACCACTCACCACCACACACCACCACACACCAGCTCACACTAATTAGACACAAGTAGAAACTTAGCGCTGCCCACACACCAGCACACACCAACTCACCAACTGCACTGGATGACTCCTGAGGCGGCGGGGAAGGAATCACACATGTCGGCAGCCCATTGGCTCCCACAGCAGCAGCAGCACCAGCCGAGCAGCGGCACGTGTAGGAGCTGTTAGGCGGAGGAGGAGGAGAGAAGGTAGCAGACACTGGGGGAGCTGGGGTGGAGACTGGTGGAGGTGCCCCCTTGGTGGAAGCAGAAGCAGGGGTGGGAGGAGAGGAGGTGGGTATGCAGTCGCCTGGGCCGCATGGATTGGAGGGGTAGCTGGTGCAGGGGTCGGCTGGGAGAAAAAACGGGAGGGGGGAACAAGAGCATTGCGTTAGAAGGTTAGGTTGGGTGTGATGGAAGAGAGGGGAGGGAGGGAGGAATGCGAGAAACAGGAAAAAGGGGCTGTGGTGGGGGCTGGTGGAGTTTTAAGGCGCTTTGAAACAGGAGAAACGGGGGCTGTGGTGGCGGCTGGTGGAGGTGCCTTGTTGGTGGAAGCAGAAGCGGGGGTGGGAGGAGAGGAGGTGGGGATGCTGTCGCCTGGGCTGGGCCGCATGGGATGGAGGGGTAACTGGTGCAGGGGTCGGCTGGGAGAGTGGGGGAAGGGATAAAAGGGAACACAGATGCTGAGGTTAGGTGGAGGGGATGCAGACACCTGGGCCACATGGGTTGGAGGGGTAGCTGGTGCAGGGATCGGCTGGGAGAGGGGGGAGAGCGAGGGAAGGGAGCATAATGGGTGAAATGGTAGATTTGTGTGTTCAGTCAGGGGTGGGAAGGGTAGCTGGTGCGAAGGTCAGCAATGAGGGAGGGATGCACACAACCACCCATCCACGCAACCACTCACCCACCCACGCAACCACTCACCCACCCACGCAACCACTCACCCACCCATGCACACACGATCCCACACCAGCGTCCACAACCTTTAACACTCACTGCAGGAGGTGCAGCAGGAGGAGCAGAAGTCGGGGCAGGCTTGACAGAAGGCTGAGATGAGTGACTGGGGCACCTCGCACGGTGTAGATGGGAGGGGACAGGTGGTGCTGGTGGCGTTCGTTGCACTGAGGAGGGGGGAAGAAAGACAGAGAAAGAGGGGACGAGACAGGCGAGTGATGGGAGGAAGAGAGAGAGAGAGAGAGAGAGGCAGGTTAGGGTCAGCAGTTGGGGGGAGGGGGGTTGTGAGGCACATCACATCACACGATGTAGAAGGGAGGGGAGACGTGGTTCTGGTGGCAATCGTTGAGCTGATGCTGAGGTAGGGGGCGCATCAGTAGCGTCCTCCACAGCACAGTAATCGTCCTTCACAGCACAGTAAAATGAGACCGATAGGAACTCATCAGTGTTGAATGTACGACGAAGTTGCACTCACAGCATCGTCAGGTTGCTGAGCTGTCCCAGGGAAGCGGGAACGGACCCACTGAGCTGAGGGTTGTAGCTTAAATCGCTGTGGAGACGGGGAAGGCGAGGTGGTGGGACATGAGAGGAGAGGAAAGGAAGGTTGGGGTTAAGATGCGGTCTGTCAGGTGCAACTGAATTGTGAGCAGGCGCCACGCGTGATAGGCGTGATGTCCTGTGAAAATATAACGCATACATGCATTGCTTTCGCCAAATCTAGCTGTTGGCTTTCAGAACAACAGTACCGATTATGTGTTACGTATTGAGTAGCTTCAGTTGGCAACTCACAGCGCCTGCAGACCAGTGAGGGTGGAGAAGGAAGCTGGTATCGTCCCTGAGAGGTTGTTGCGTGACAGATCACTGCCAGAGCAGCAGGAGAAGGATGGGGAAGGGGGGAAAGAGAAACTGTTTAGGTGTGTTTTGAGTCGACTCAAAACACACCTGGACGCTAAAAATGTTGCGCAACAGGTCAGTCTAGGCGGACAGTGACTGCCCTTGTCACGGGACAGTGCCACTGCAGAAGTGAAAAGTAGGGGGGCAGACAGGGCAGTGCAGGCAGGAGAGACGGGAGAGAGGGGAGAGAGGGGGCGAGGGGATAAGAAACGAGAAGGCATGCCATGTTCGGTAGACTTGGTGGGACAAGAGGGGGCAGAGCAGCCGTGCATTTTTTTAGGCGCCTCAAAAGTGGCACAAGAGGAGGCAGAGCAGCCGTGCAAGCGCATGGAATAGGAATAGGAGGAGGAGGAGGAGGAGGAGGAGGAGGAGGAGGAGGAGGAGGAGGAGGAGGAGGAGGAGGAGGAGGAGGAGGAGGAGGAGGAGGAGGAGGGAGGAGGAGGCAGAGAGAGAAACTGACAGCGAGGTGAGGTTGGTGAGCAAGGTGGTGGTGGAAGGGACGGAGCCTGCAAGACTGTTGGACGAGAGATTCCTGTTGTGGTTTGCGGAGGAAATTCAGGAAATTGGAGGAGCGAGAAGACAAGGTAAGGGTGAGGGAGAGGTGGGTGGGGAGCCTGGAGGGCAGGGAATGAGGGAATCAGGGAATGAGGGAATCAGGGAATCAGGGAACCAGGGAATCAGGGAATCAGGGAATCAGGGATCAATCTAGTTTCACGAGGAGGTGCTTTTTTTTTCTAATCATGTGAGGTAAAGAGAGGCGATGTGGGTGCTGTGGTGGTGTGAGACTGTGAGTGAGGTGCACCGGCGTGGTGCTGTGGTGGTGTGCGGTGCACACAGGCATGGCGTGGTGCGGTGCTGTGGCGTGTTGCACTCAATGTAACTGCCCCCCCTGGGATCGACTCGACTCAGAGGGTCCGAACGAAAGCATTCCGCTAGTGCAGTGCTGACGTCACAACAGTGTGCTGACGTCACAGGGGGCATGCCACTTACAGCTGTCGCAATCGCGGCATGGAGCTGATGGCGCCGGGAATCGTTCCTGCAAGCTGATTGGCGGAGAGGTCCCTGAGAAGAATAATTGAAGAATGTGTGTATGGGTTGTGAATGGGTGTGTTGGTGGGATGGTCAGATCAAGATGGGAATGGTGGATGGGAATGGTGGATGGGAATGGTGTATGGGGTTGGAGTCGTGTGAATGTGGTGTGAACGTGGTGTGAATGTGGTGTGAACGTCATTCATGTGTTTCCTTCAGATCTCCCTTGCACCTCATCCATGTCTTTGCCGTTCATTTCATACACTCCCAGAGACTTTCTCCTCCCCACTGCCATCCCTCTCCCTTCTTCTCCCTCCCTCCATACATCCACCTCCATACATCCACCTCCATACATCCACCTCCATACATCCACCTCCATACATCCACCTCCATACATCCACCTCCATACATCCACCTCCATACATCCACCTCCATACATCCACCTCCATACATCCACCTCCATACATCCACCTCCATGCATCCACCTCCATACATCCACCTCCATGCATCCACCTCCATGCATCCACCTCAGCATGCTCGTGAAAACTGCATGGCTTCAAACGAAACTTGCCCTTTACAGATGGGGATTCTAGACAGTGCGAAACCCCTGCACGAAACTTCTCCCCCCCTCTCCTTCCCTTCTGCCCCATGGCTTACAGTGTCTCTACGTGTGTGAGGCTGCTAAGAAACAGGGAATCTCCCCTGAGAAATGATTGCTGCCTAGATCGCTGGTGGGGGGGGACGGAATGAGAGGGGGAAGAATGGGGAAAAAGGGCAACCAGAGACTGGTGGGAGAGAGTGACACACAACATGTGCAGCGTCGTATTGCACATGAGGAGAGTTTTTTTGAGTCGACTCAAAAATCGACTAACTACACGCGGCAACCAGAGTCTGCTGGGAGAGTGTGCTGGGAGAGTCTGCTGGGAGAGTGTGGTGGGAGAGAGTGACACACAACACGTGCAGCGTTGTATAGCACATGAGGAGAGAAGAAGCGAGCGGGTGCTGCAAACCTGCACTGCAGATTCAAACGGATTGTCTCGTCAAGAGCGTGAGACACTGCATGCGGTGTTGCATGTCAAGTACATGCAACAATGTCGCATGGTGTCAACATTAGTAAATCTGCAGCACATTAGTGTCGACCGAAATAATGACATCCCATCCCCATAGCACAGTGAACCACAGCAGGTGTCTTCCCTTCCCCCCAGACAGCTCACAGTGTTTGAAGCGCATTGAGTGAGGCTGGGTTGACCCGACTCATACGTGCACACACCGCACACTGAATCATGAAGAGTTCTCCCCCCATAACATCCCCCCCCCCCCCCCACCCCTGCCTCCCCTCCCCTCCCCAACCCCTGTCCCGCCTTCCTCCCTCTATGCCCCAAAGCGAGCTCACAGTGTTTGCAGCGCCGTAAGGTTGCCCAGTAGCACGGGCAGCGATCCATTGAGCTGACATCCATGCAAGTAGCTGGGGAGGGAGAGGAAGAGAGAGGATGAGGAGGAACAAGGAATATAAGAGATGGGGAGGTGTCTTCTGTGTGGAGTCACTAATAAATCAAAAGAGTGACCATAAGGCTATAAGTCACCTCGTTAGAGGATAGTGCCATGGTCAAACCACAAAAGGGAGTTTTTTGGGACAATAAGGTGACTTTTGAGTGGATTCAAAACTCATTTTGCTACAAGGGGGTATCACATGATGGATATGATCACACACGGAAATTCTGTGAGATGAGAAAAAAGGGCGAACGAACCTTAACAGGGGCAGTCGCAGCAGGGTGTTTAAGACATGCATATCGAATGGATACTGTACAGTATGGAATGGTATGGTATGGTATGGTATGGTATGGTATGGTATGGTATGGTATGGTATGGTATGGTATGGTATGGTATGGTATGGTATGGTATGGTATGGTATGGTATGGTATGGCTTGCAGGAGAGACACATGGCACGTGTGTGAACTGACATATGGCATGTGTGTGAGAAAGTGACACGTGGCACTCACAGCTCTGTGAGCTTGTCCAGGTGGCCCATAGATTCAGGAAGAACCCCGCTGATGCCCGTGTTGCTCAGATCCCTGCAGCAAGGAAGGAAGCAGAGGGGAGGAATGAGGTGAGAAATCTTGAGGGACGACACACTCCCTCCCTCACCTTGCTGCAGTTCCAATCCATGCCACCCCATGGCACCCATGCGAGACTCCTAGACCCATGCTATGCCACCCATGCGACCCGTGCGATGCCTTCCATGCCAACCATGCCACCCGTGCCACCCATGCCACCCATGCCACCCATGCCACCCATCCAATCCTCCACACACCGCACATGTCCAGCCTACCGGTCCAGTGCCCATCATCGATCGGAGCACATGCCATGCTGCCACCATCTAAGACTCTTTGCCCCATTGCCACCATCTAAGACTCTTTGCCCCATTGCCACCATCTAAGACTCTTTGCCCCATTGCCACCATCTAAGACTCTTTGCCCCATTGCCACCATCTAAGACTCTTTGCCCCATTGCCACCATCTAAGACTCTTTGCCCCATTGCCACCATCTAAGACTCTTTGCCCCATTGCCACCATCTAAGACTCTTTGCCCCATTGCCACCATCTAAGACTCTTTGCCCCATTGCCACCATCTATGACTCTTTGCCCCATTGCCACCATCTAAGACTCTTTGCCCCATTGCCACCATCTAAGACTCTTTGCCCCATTGCCACCATCTAAGACTCTTTGCCCCATTGCCACCATCTAAGACTCTTTGCCCCATTGCCACCATCTAAGACTCTTTGCCCCATTGCCACCATCTAAGACTCTTTGCCCCATTGCCACCATCTAAGACTCTTTGCCCCATTGCCACCATCTAAGACTCTTTGCCCCATTGCCACCATCTAAGACTCTTTGCCCCATTGCCACCATCTAAGACTCTTTGCCCCATTGCCACCATCTAAGACTCTTTGCCCCATTGCCACCATCTAAGACTCTTTGCCCCATTGCCACCATCTAAGACTCTTTGCCCCATTGCCACCATCTAAGACTCTTTGCCCCATTGCCACCATCTAAGACTCTTTGCCCCATTGCCACCATCTAAGACTCTTTGCCCCATTGCCACCATCTAAGACTCTTTGCCCCATTGCCACCATCTAAGACTCTTTGCCCCATTGCCACCATCTAAGACTCTTTGCCCCATTGCCACCATCTAAGACTCTTTGCCCCATTGCCACCATCTAAGACTCTTTGCCCCATTGCCACCATCTAAGACTCTTTGCCCCATTGCCACCATCTAAGACTCTTTGCCCCATTGCCACCATCTAAGACTCTTTGCCCCATTGCCACCATCTAAGACTCTTTGCCCCATTGCCACCATCTAAGACTCTTTGCCCCATTGCCACCATCTAAGACTCTTTGCCCCATTGCCACCATCTAAGACTCTTTGCCCCATTGCCACCATCTAAGACTCTTTGCCCCATTGCCACCATCTAAGACTCTTTGCCCCATTGCCACCATCTAAGACTCTTTGCCCCATTGCCACCATCTAAGACTCTTTGCCCCATTGCCACCATCTAAGACTCTTTGCCCCATTGCCACCATCTAAGACTCTTTGCCCCATTGCCACCATCTAAGACTCTTTGCCCCATTGCCACCATCTAAGACTCTTTGCCCCATTGCCACCATCTAAGACTCTTTGCCCCATTGCCACCATCTATGACTCTTTGCCCCATTGCCACCATCTAAGACTCTTTGCCCCATTGCCACCATCTAAGACTCTTTGCCCCATTGCCACCATCTATGACTCTTTGCCCCATTGCCACCATCTAAGACTCTTTGCCCCATTGCCACCATCTAAGACTCTTTGCCCCATTGCCACCATCTAGGACTCTTTGCCCCATTGCCACCATCTAAGACTCTTTGCCCCATTGCCACCATCTAAGACTCTTTGCCCCATTGCCACCATCTAAGACTCTTTGCCCCATTGCCACCATCTAAGACTCTTTGCCCCATTGCCACCATCTAAGACTCTTTGCCCCATTGCCACCATCTAAGACTCTTTGCCCCATTGCCACCATCTAAGACTCTTTGCCCCATTGCCACCATCTAAGACTCTTTGCCCCATTGCCACTCATGTGTGGTCATGTGTGGCCCGTTGCCCGTTGTCAGCATCTGAGAACTCTCAGAACCGCATTAGGATAACTCCCAAAAAAAAAAAAAAAAAAAAAACCCTCTTCGTCAGGCTACAATCTTGAGAAAATATACTCTTTCTTCAACCATGAGTTGTTGACTTGTCACACAGGAGGGATCGTCATACCACACTCATCCTCATGTGTTGAAGCTCCCAACCACACTCACCCTCACTCACACCCTCACTCACACTTGTTTGAGTCGCCTGAGCTCCCCTATGCGGGGTGGGATGGGCCCTGATAGGGACGTGTTGTGCAGGCGACTGCATGGCGAAGCGAAGGCAGAGAGGAAGGAGGGAGAGCAACAGAGAGAGAAAAGATGTGCGAGGCGAATAAAAAGCTCGCCTATGCGTGTTGGGAGGGGCCCTGAGAGGGACGTGTTGTGCAGATGACTAAGTAGCGGGGGCATGCCCCCTTCACCCAAAAGGCGCCAAAAAAAAAAGGGGGGGGGGGGGGGGGGGGGGGGGGGGGGGGGGGGGGGGCATGCCCCCGTCTGCAGTGCTAAACCCCAATTTTTCCCCCTTACATGCCCCTCCTTGTCTTCCCCCAACGCATAATAGGGTTCGGGCAGTAATGCAGTAAGTTTCAAAAAGAAAGTCAACTTGAAAGAGGGAAAAGGGGTGAAAAGGAGCGGATTGCATCCAAAGCACCCACATTCTGGTTAGGGCAGTCATGCGCCTGATGCTAGTGGGTAGGGCGCCCGTGAAGAGATTAAATCCCAGGTTGCTGCGCGAGGGGAGGTGGTGTGAAGGAAGATGTGTGGAGAGTGGTGAGGTTGGGTGCAGGAGGGTGTGCATGGTGGGACATAAGGGTGCATATGCCACGTGGAGGGTGCATGGCGGGACGTGGAGGGTGCATGGTGCCACGTGGAGGGTGCATGGTGCCACGTGGAGGGTGCATGGCGCCACATGGAGGGTGCATGGTGCCACGTGGAGAGTGCATGGTGCCACGTGGAGGGTGCATGGTGGCACATCGAGGGTGCAACATATACATCCCATTCACTCCATATGCTCCTAAGTGAATGAGGGGGTATGGGGAGCAGAGTGCATGTGATGAATGGGTGGCATGTGATGAATGGGTGGCATGTGATGAATGGGTGGCATGTGATGAATGGGTGGCATGTGATGAATGGGTGGCATGTGATGAATGGGTGGCATGTGATGAATGGGTGGCATGTGATGAATGGGTGGCATGTGATGAATGGGTGGCATTTGGGTGCATGGTTGGGGCAAGGGTGCGCGCCGCGCCACTCACAGCTTTTCGAGCTTCCCAAGGGATGATATGGAGGAGGGAAGGCGACCAGAGAAGCTGTTGTTCGTCAAACCCCTGCGTGTGGTGGTGGGAGGGCCGTCAAGCATGGGTGTGGTAGTGGGAGGGCCGTCAAGCATGGGTGTGGTGGTGGGAGGGCCGTCAAGCATGGGTGTGGTGGTGGGAGGGCCGTCAAGCATGGGTGTGGTGGTGGGAGGGCCGTCAAGTGGACAAGCATGAGATTTCAATTTCAACAACCAGAACTTCTACCACAAGCGCAAGGGAGAGGAACTGCTGGTGGTGGTGGAGGGAGAGAGGAACGGTGAGGCAGGGAAAGAAGGAGAAGGAGGCGGCGACTAGGGCTGCAAGGACGAAGCATGGATAGATGAAAGTCTTTCCTTGTGGCAGATGAAAGGTGCTTGACACATGGTAGAACCTGCATGGATGTCAGCACATCACACATGCTCCGGACGAAAGCCTTGTTTTTACAGGCGCTTTTTGAGAGCTCAGGAATTCAAAAAACCACCAACAGTCGTCTCTGAATGTGCTGCATGAGAGGTTGCTGGCCTGGTGGAACGTATAATCACAATGGCTACACATGGCTCGCTCGTACAGGGCGTTGGCAAGGTTTGAGAGGGGTTGCTGGTGCGAGGCAGGGAGCAACAAACAGCCAGAATTGCACTTGCCACCGTTGAGAATCACATAGTGACTCTCGGTGTAAATCTTGGTGTGGCTGTCGGTGTGGGTGTGACGCTCTTGGTGTGACTCACAGGGTGACAAGGTTGGTGAGGTTGCCAATGGATATGGGAAGCGGCCCAGAGAGAGAGTTGTTGGCCAGACCGCTGGCAAAGGAGCGGAAGAAGGGATTGAGAGGGATTGAGAGGGAGAGAATGGAGCAAATGGGACGAGGAATTGAGAGGGATTGAGAGGGATTGAGAGTTTTGAGGCGGCTCAAATTGATTAGAGAAAGTGTTGTTGAGCTGCAGGGAAGGAGGGAGCATAGAGAGGAAGAGGGAGTGCGTGGGAGAGCATGGAGCGAGTAGGTGCAGGGAGGCAAAGAAAGAAGGGGATGAATGAATACAACGTGAGGATGGTGGAATATAAAGAAAGTAGGGTAAAGAGTAAAATCTGAGGGAGGAGCATCACAAGAAAGAAGGGGGTTGGTGAGTAGTACAGGCTTTGGAGAGCAGAGAGGGCGCCTATGCCATCCGGAAGAGTGCCGTTGAGGAGATTGTCAGAGATGCTCCTGAAGAGAGGGATAGATAAAAAATGGTGGATTTGAGTGTGGAGCGGTGAAGTGGAGTAAACGACTGTGGGATCCGGTGGTGGTGCCCGTGCGATGCGGTAGAGGGTGCATTTGGGTTGAGTCGGGTGAGATGGTTTGATGGTGTGTGTGATGAGAGGGTTCTGATATGGGCTGCTGCTGCTGCTGCCTTTTGAGGCGCCTCAAAAGAGAGTTCTGATATGGGCTGCTGCTGCCAAACCATGGCTGTTCGATCGAGAAAGAGAGGGAGGAATTGAGCATAAATGGAATGGAGATACTAGGTAAGGTGCAGTGCAGGAGCGACTTTTGAGGCGCCTCAAAAAAACTAGGTAAGGTGCAGTGCAGGACTTTTGAGACGTTTCAAAAGATAAGGTGCAGTGCACGACTTTTGAGACGTCTCAAAAGGTAAGGTTCAGTGCAGGAGCGCATGAGAATGGACAGATGAGGGTTGAAGAGTGGTGACGAGCGGTGATTATGTTGGAGTAGGAGAAGTGTAGATGATGGTGCATGCAGAGAGGGCAAGAATATGCATACGAATGGGTATAGGAAGGATGATTCATGAATGAGAAGTCTCACACATAGAATCCGGAAAACTGGGGTGAGAGGAGGTGCAGACACCAGGTAAGGAACAAGAATATGAGAAAGGGGTGGAAAGGAAGGAGAGGGTGGGTACAGGTAAGTGGCGGAGGAGAGGGCAGAGAGTGTTGAAGGGAGGGAGCCTGCCAACAAGTTGTTGTCCAGATTGCTGTAAGTGGGACGGGAGGAGGAGGCGGAGGAGGAGGAGGAGGAGGAGGATGAGTGTGGAGAGTCGGAGAGCGTAGAGAAGCGGACGTTGAGATAAAAGGGGTACTGGAACAACATCACGAGAAGCACACTGTATGACGTGCCTTGGTGGGTGGGCGAATGGTTACATTACAGCTCTCTCTGTCTTGAAAGCTTGCTACGAGAATCATGCTAAGCTGAATTGAGAGGAAGTGGAGTGGTGTGGTGGGAGAAGGGAGGAGGGACGGCAGCAATGGCAAAAAGCATGTGACAGATGGGAGGGGAGAGAAGGGCGAGGAGAGAAGGATGGGAGAAGGGATGGGAAAGAAGGGATGAGAGAGAAGGGATGAGAGAGAAGGGATGAGAGAGAAGGGATGAGAGAGAAGGGATGAGAGAGAAGGGATGAGAGAGAAGGGATGAGAGAGAAGGGATGAGAGAGAAGGGATGAGAGAGAAGGGATGAGAGAGAAGGGAGGGGGACACACAGCCTGAGAAGTGCAGTGAGTTTGCCTAGGGCATTAGGAAGGGTGCCATTGAGAAGATTGTCAGAGAGTGTTCTGTGGCAGATGGGGGAGAGCGGAGGAAGTGAGATGACAGTTGGAGAATGCGGTGGTAGCTTGTAATGCATAGAGAGCGACTTTTGAGGCGCCTCAAAAGGAAGTGAGATGACAGTTGGAGAATGCGGTAATGCTTGTTTGGAAGTTAGTAACTTGTAATGCATAGAGAGCGAAGCATGGAAAATGTTCCTGTTCTGTGGCAAGCGGGAGAGCAGAGATAGGGTCAAGAGGAGGAGGGAGGGAGAGTTCATGAGAGTTTATGAGGGGGATGAGAAAATCAAGCGCAAAACGAGAGAATCAACTCAAAAGTGCTTTCAAGGTCTGCAGCTTGGCGAGGGTTGCAAGGAATTGCGTAACACAGGGCGAATTGGAATGAATCCGCTTTTGAAGAAATTCCAGACCATATTGATTTGACCATATTGAGGACATTGGACAGATGGACGCTGGTCTTTCTTACAGCGTTTGCAGCTTGGCGAGAGCGGCAAGGGATTGCGGAATAGAACCGGTTAGCTGGTTGTTGTAGAGCCCTCTGTAAGAGAAGGGGAAGATAATGGGGGGAGAAAAAGGGGAAGTGTTTTAAAGAAATGCGGAAAAGAACGATGAGGAACAGGACGGGGAAGAGGAGGGGGAAGGGAATAGAGACGAGACGAGGGAAACAAGTGGGGAGAAACAGGGAAAGGACTAGGAGCAGAGGAAACAATCAATCAGGAAATAGGGCACAGAAGGAAGCAAAAGAAAGGAGGAGGATAATAGAAAGGGTTGAAATCCACGTTGTGGTGCATGATAGAGAGGAGATGGCAGCAGGTTTTTGACAATTCTCAAAATCCAGGAGGAGGATAATAAAGAGGGTTGAAATCCACACTCTGGCGGATGAGAGAGAGGAGACGGCAGCAGCACTGACAGGTAGGAGAGGTTGGTGAGACTCCCGATGGACCCTGGAATGACTCCTGTCAGCTGATTGGCGCCAAGGTTGCTGGAGCAAGGGAGGGGGAGGGGGGATGTGTGGGGAAGGGAAAGAAGTGGATAAGGGGTATGGCAGCACTGACAGGTAGGAGAGGTTGGTGAGACTTCCGATGGACCCTGGAATGACTCCTGTCAGCTGATTGGCGCCTAGGTTGCTGGAGCAAGGAAGGGGGGAGTGCAGGAAGGGAAGAAGTGGTGTGTTGTTTATGTACCAAAGAAAGGGCATGCTGTGGTTATGGGTCAGGAGGGGAGGGAGGGCGTAGGAGGCCTGACGAGGGTGCAATTTAGGAAACCTAGGGAGGCGTATTACATATGAGCTAGGAGCGAGAGTTTGCCCATCACTGATGGAATGGAGCCCGCGAGTTGAGTGTTGTTGAGTCGACTCAAAAGTTGTGAGCGTGTGTTAGAGCTTACAGGAGAGCGAGAAGCGAGAGTTTGCCGATCACCAATGGAAGGGAGCCCGCGAGTTGAGTGTCGTTAAGTGACCTGTTCTCGTAACTTTGAGTCGACTCAAAAATTGTGAGCGTGTGCTACAGCTTACAGGTGAGCGAGAAGCAAGAGTTTGCTGATCACCGATGGAATGGAGCCTGTGAGTTGAGTGTTGTTGAGCGACCTGCTCTCGTGCCCGCATGTGCATGCATGTGTGGGTAACAGGAGAAAAGGGTGACAAAAGAGAGTTCTTAATTCGGCTTGTAACGAACAGCTTTGATCAAGAGTGTTTCTCTGCAACCTGCGTGTGCGGACATGTGCAAATGTGGGCACCAGGAGGAGACGACTTAGTGAGTGCTGCTTGGACGAAGTCTTGATGCAGCCCGCTTCGTGCTACTTGCATCCCAGTTCGGTCACAGGTTAAAAAAAGGGCCTTGCCATGCATGCCATGCATGGCTCGATGACATGCCAGTCAGCAGCATCTAGAATCTAGGAGAAAATCAAATACTGGGTAGACGACGAGCCGATTAACGACGGGTAGATCAGTCAGTAAAGGACTGGGTTCCGAACACTCACATCTCAATAACCATGCCCTTGCCGATTTTTTAGGTTCCTACAAAATCAACGAAGAATCAGATTCCGAGCACTCACATTTCAATGACCATGCCCTTGCCATCACACGTCAATCCGGTGGCTTGAGAGCAGTTGGCGAAAGTGCGACCCCACGCCTTGCCCAATGCGGCTAGCACTGGGACTGATGTGGGAGAAGGGTGTGATATGTGGAGTGAATGTGGCTTTAACCAGTGCGACTGCGCGTGAGAGTGCGACCCCACATCTTGCCCAGTGCAGCTAGCACTGGGACTGATGAGGGACAATGGCATGCAGTGAGGAGTGAATGTGGCTTCAACGTGTGACTGCGTGCGTGATTGTGATGAAAGTGAGAACGCATGACCTCGCTCAGTGCAGCTAGCTCTGGGACTGATGAGGGAGAACGGTATCAGATGTTGAGTACATCTAGGGTGTGTGATTATGACGAGAGTGACTCCCCATGGGGTCTTATAACGCCTGTGGGGCTACACGTAAGGGTTGAGGGCTTCCGCTGCGCCTCAAATATAACCCTCGCTCTGACCCAGTGGGTAGCGAGGCGTTATAGCCTCGGCCAGAACAGCTAGCTCAGAAATTGTCGAGGAGTTTCAATCTGTTCGCACGCTACCAGTTCAGATATCCCAGGAACAAAGCGCTACACTACCTGATGATCAGTGATGTGTAAAATCTGTTTCAAGGACAAGATTGAGACGTCCAGGAATAAGTTACTTTCCGTACCACGGAATCTGCTCCAGGGACTAATTCATACACCTAAGGAACAAGCAGCACTACCTTGCGAGGGGTGTAGCTTGGAATTCGCTCCAGATACCAACGCCGAAGCCGATTGGAAGGCCACAGCTACAAGCAGCAGCCCAGCAACTACTCCAAAAACCGAATTTCGCCTCATTTTCTTCAATTCGGGTCCTGAAAGATAGGAGATGCCTTGCAAAAATTGCACCCCTGACGGATAAGCGAAGCCTTCAAAGAAAATACTACAGACTAGCAGATGTCTTCAGCGAAACGATTGCGAAAGGGGGGTGAGGAAGCTGTGTTGAGCTGGTAACTACGTACTGGGTTATCTAAGGGAAAGTCCTTTGGACCAACTAAGCATTAACTACTACAGATTCGAGCTCGTATGCTGCTAATGAATGAAAAGGCAGTCTCTTATCCATCGAAGCTTAGGTTTGTCGAGAGAGTCTCGTCTAAACGCGCGGGAGAACATCGAACGCGGCCTTCACGGTTCCAGAAGTGACGGTACTATTGTTAGTATCGATGGGCGAAAGAAAGCGTGCAGCAAGATCAAGCTAAGCGTACGCGTCACGTCACCATTATTTCCAGCAGTCCAAGAAACTGAAGGGACGAGCAACAGCGTGATCCACGCATCCGTGTGCGTAACTGTGGAGGGCCACACGAGTAAAACAAAGCCTCCATGGTTCCATGGCTCGGGACATTTCCACACGGTTGAAAACGGTTGGCACATTTCACCGTTTAAAACCGCGATGAGTTGCATGAAACCGCATACATGACGCGCCCCAATAATCGTGCCCCACTCAAGGCCTGATGGGTGGGTTGCACGATGGGTTGCACGATTATGAAACAATAAGAGCGTGGAACATCCTTTTGAACAAGTGTTGGTCGGTTGCCTGGTCGAACATTGGGGCTCGTCAATCGTTTGCGACGGAGTTCGCCAGGCAACACAGAAAACCACAAACTGCAAATCAGAAACCCCTGCAAATTTGGGGAAGGGACCATAGGTCGCCCACAAACGCAAAGCCTGTAGGGTACACGTTTCGCTAACTTCGTCAATCAACTTGCTGCTAATTAGGATGCAGCACATCACCCTCGACAACACCTGGTTGCATGTCGCATGTTTCTGCCTACATCGTCAATTCTTGTCGTATCAGCGTGATCCAAAAAGTGGGGTGACCGATGGCCCAAACTGTGGAACTTGGGCGCTGCTTCCAGTCTTCGTCACTCTTCTACGAATTTTATTTGCGACAAACGCAAACAGGGTTACTGTCGCAGTTGAGCGACCGACGCTGTGTTCAAAAGGATGTTCCACGCTCTAATCGTGCCCCACTCAAGGCCTGATGGGTGGGTTGCCTGCAGTGGTGGGGTGGGGTGGGTGCGGTGAGTCCTTCGTGTCCTCCCCCTCATGCCCTTTTGCCCGGTTCAGCGAAGTGGTAGGTTCAAGGGAATTCCAGCCAGAAAAGTCTGGGAAGTTTTTGCACAAGCTGGAATTCTGTGGCATGTTGGAGGGTGCACGAAACCCTAGAGCTTCACATGACGCGGGCGACGAGGAATGTGCATTCTGGTTGGTGAGATTTTTTTCGCGAAGCTGAAGGATTAACGGGAAACAAGGCGAGGCGATGCAAGCGAAAGATGCTCACGGCAACCGACAGGATAGATCTGCCGGGACTGGTCGGAGATGATTCTGTTTGGCATGCGACTTAGTTGACTGACATTCTTAGGAATTCGCCGCCGCCATCTGGGGTTTCGGCTTCGCACAATCGCACACCACACCACATCACACACTACGGTTCGCCTCGCCAGCGCTTGCAAGGACCAACAGGAATGGCCAGTACTTGTCATCGCTATTAAATCCTCCGTTCTGTATCTGTTTTCGGAAAATCGGATATGTGGAAAAAACTCTCTGATGTCCCATCATCATTACCCATTTGGGTTGAAAATAAAAAGCTCTGTGCGCCCAATGTGACCACACGCATGCGTGGAATGCACCATAATAGCATCCTTAGTTGGGACACAGATTGTTGTTGAACTCAATACATTGTCTTCACATCTGCCCCTCATGCATCAACCAGCTCCAATCAACCATACATACCTCAAAGAAGCCTTGATGAATTACAACCCAAGGACCATGTCACATAACCCCAGGGTCGTGCGCATATGCTCCGGCATGTTCCTTAACAACCCTTACTCCTCTCCCCCCTTCCCCCGTTTCTTTCAACCAAACACCTTCATCAGAGAACCTCCACGTCTCAAATGCCCAGAGTCGAGCGCATGTGGTCGGCTGTGTGCCGCAACAACCCCTACTCCCTTATCAACCAAACACCCCCATCAGAGAACCTCAATGTCTCAAATCCCCAGAATCGTGCGCATGTGCTCGGGTGTGTGCCTCAACAGCCCCCCTGCATCAGGATACTGGTTCCTCCCATCACACATTGCTTCATACACTGCTGCATATGCATCTGCCAGCGCCCCCGCCTGCAGCCTGCGCCCTCAGCTTCGCCACACCCTCCCAGCGCCCCAACCCCAGACAGCTCTAAACAAACGCCCACCCCTCAGCCCAACTCCCCCTGATCAACACCTACCTCACACGTCTCAAATCCCAAGAATTGTGCGCATGTGCTCAGGAGTATGCCGTAACAACCCTCCAGCATCAGGATACTGGTTCCGCGCATCACACACCGCCTCATACACCGCTGCATACGCATCTGCCAGCGCCCCCGCCACCAGCCCAGCCGCCTGCGCCCTCAGCTTCGCCACTCCCAGCGCCTCAAACTCAGGCAGCCGCCCCTCCGCCCCTGCCAGCAGGGCAAAGAGCCTCTGCAGGGATTCGGCAACAGCAGAGGGAGACGCCTCTGGGAACTGGGCCAGGGGCGGGTACTGCTGTGGTGGGGGGTTTGCTGCTCCTGCTGCTGATACCTCTCCCCCTTCCTGCTGCTGCTGCTGCTGCTGCTGCTGCAGCTGTTGTTGCTGGGAGGCCTGGTTGATCTGAGCGATGAGGCGGAGGATGGGGGAGAGCATGCAGTGGTCGAGAATGGCCGCCACTTCCAGCTGCACCATGGCTGTGACGTGCTCTGAGAGCGCGCCTGCCAGCCCCTGGGAGTAGGGGGTGAGCACCGGGAAGGGCGCGAGCGGCGCATGCAGGGCTGCCAGGCAGTTGGCGAGGAAGATGTGCCTCGCCACTGCCACCGCCTGATGAAGGTGGGCGGTGGGGAAGTGTGGGGGGGGATACAGGCGAGGAGGTAAGGAGGATGGGGGAGAGGATGCAGTGGCCACCCCCATCCTTGGCCATCGTGATGGGGGATAGACGTGACCACGAGGTGCACCATGGCTGTGACGTGCTCTGATCTGAGAGCACGCCTGCCAGCCCCTGGGAGTAGGGCTCAAGCCACCCACCGTGTTCTCAACCCCGTCGGTGTCCCCCTCAGTGGCCCGCCTGCTTAGGGGCAATGACCCCCTTCTCCCCAGCAGCCTGTTCTTCCCCCCAGCTGCTACTGATGCCATACAAGAGTCAACTCAGAAACACTGACCAGCTCAAGAACACTCACCAGCTCAACAACACTCACCAGCTCAACAACACTCACTGTGGTCTCCGCCCCATCGTCCTCCCCCTTAGTGGCCTGCCTGCCCAGTGGCAATGACCCCCTCCTCCCCAGCGGCCCGCTTTCCCCCGCTGCTGCTGCAGACATGGATGCGGAGGCAGAGGCTGCTGCATACGGCACTCAAGCCACATCATGCCACTCACCGTGTTCTCAGCCCCATCGGACTCCCCTTCAGTAGCCCGCCTGCCCAACGGCAACGAACCCCTTCTCCCCAACGGACCGCTCTCCCCCGCTGCTACAGCAGACATGGATGCGGAGGCAGAGGCGCGGCGAGGGAGAGACGAGGAGCCGGAGGAGAGGGCTGTCACAGCCTTTGCTGTCAAAGCTTGTGCTGCCCGCGTGCACACCTGCAGGTGGGGGGAGCAGGAGAGGAAGGGGGGAGAGGGGGAGGGGTGGTGGCAGCCAGTGGAAAAGGGAGGAGGAGCCAGTGGAGAGAGCAGAGCAGTCAGGGACTTTGCTGTTAGGGCGCGTGTGAGTGCAGGGGCAGAGGGAGAGAGAGAGAGATTGGGAGGAACTCACCTCCACAAGGTGGGCTAGGAGTGCAGCAGCGACGGGAGGGAAGAAAATCCGCGTTTGCAGCCCCAGCCGGCCAGCACCATCATGCTGGCATGTGCCTGCAGCAGCTCTAACACCACCACCGCCATTCCATCCCCCGCTCCCACCAGATGATGCAAAGAGGCTGACGTGGTTACAGTTGGTAATACCACTCACTCACCTCCACAAGGGGGTCTAGGAGAGCAGCGGCAACAGGTAGGAAGTCGGGTTTGGCAGCCCCAGCCGGCACCATCATGCTGGCATGCGCCTGCAGCAGCTCCAACACCACCGCCACGCCCTCTCCCACCAGAGGCGGGGGGGAGAGGTCTGAGGGCACTGCCGGGGGAAAGCGCAGCACGCGGTCGCCCCTGAGCTTGACGGCGTCGAGGAATGCCCTCCCTGCTGCCTCGCTGAGGTCCCTCAGAACCACACATAGGGCTGCTTGCTCTCCTAGGAGCTCAGCCACCTGCACGAGCAAAAGTTGAGAGAAAGAGAGCGGGATTCGGGTGGGAGATACGTGAAACACACAGCACGGGGGAAGCGCAGCACGCGGTCTCCCCTGAGCTTGACGGCGTCGAGGAATGCCCTCCCTGCTGCCTCGCTGAGGTCCCTCAGAACGACGCATAGGGCTGCTTGCTCTCCTAGGAGCTCAGCCACCTGCACGAGTAAAAGTTGAGAGAAAGAGAGCGGGATTCGGGTGGGAGATACGTGAAACACACAGCACGGGGGAAGCGCAGCACGCGGTCGCTCCTGAGCTTGACATCGTCGAGGAATGCCCTTCCTGCTGCCTCGCTGAGGTCCCTCAGAACGACGCATAGGGCTGCTTGCTCTCCTAGGAGCTCAGCCACCTGCACGAGTAAAAGTTGAGAGAAAGAGAGCGGGATTCGGGTGGGAGATACGTGAAACACACAGCACGGGGGAAGCGCAGCACGCGGTCGCCCCTGAGCTTGACGGCGTCGAGGAATGCCCTCCCTGCTGCCTCGCTGAGGTCCCTCAGAACGACGCATAGGGCTGCTTGCTCTCCTAGGAGCTCTGCCACCTGGGAGGAAGAAAGGGAAGGGGAAAAGGAGTGGGGAATGGGGGGCGTGAGAGGGCGCTACACCTACGCCCTCCCTGCTGCCTCACAAAGGTACCTCAGAACGACACACAGCGCTGCTTGCTCTCCTAGGAGCTCTGCCACCTGGGAGGAAGAAAGGGAAGGGGAAAAGGAGTGGGGATTGGGGGGCGTGAGAGGGCGCTACACCTACGCCCTCCCTGCTGCCTCACAAAGGTACCTCAGAACGACACACAGCGCTGCTTGCTCTCCTAGGAGCTCTGCCACCTGGGAGGAAGAAAGGGAAGGGGAAAAGGAGTGGGGATTGGGGGGCGTGAGAGGGCGCTACACCTACGCCCTCCCTGCTGCCTCACAAAGGCACCTCAGATCGACACACAGCGCTGCTTGCTCGCCTAGGAAGGAGCTCTGCCACCTGGGAGGTTGCGGTGATGTGGGGGGGAGGGAGATGGGGGAGGGAGAAAAGCGGAAGCGCAGCACTCAGTCAACCCTGAGCCAGACTGCATCAAGGAATACACCCTCCCTGATGCTTTGCTCAGGTCCCTCAGTACGACGCATAGGGCTGCTTGCTCGCCCAGCAGCTTAGCCGAATGATTGAGGAAAGGTTGAAAGGGGGGGGGGGGGGGGGAAGAGGACAAGTCTCTCAGCAGACTTTTGAGTCGACTCAAAAGTCACCACGTTGAAAAGGGGGGGGGGAGAGGACAATACTCTCAGCAGGGTGTGGACAGTGGGACTGGGGGACGTGCAAAGGTGCTATAGTGGGTGGGAAACTCAGTGTGACAATAAGAGGAGAGCCACTCACGGTGTGACAGTAGAAGGAGAGGAGGCTGGAGAGCTTGTAGCACAGCACGAGCCCTGGCTGCCCCGTCAGCACCTGCTCCACACGCACTTTGAACGGCCGGCACACGCCCTCAAACACGCGGTCCAGCACTGCTGCCACGTCAGCATCTACTCCTCCTGCACTTGCTCCTCCTTCTCCTGACCCGGCTCCCCCTGATGGTGCAGATTCTGCTGACGTGGAAGAGGGTTTATCTGTGCTGGCGAAAAGAGCAGCGGCGAGTTCTTTCTCTGAGGCTAGTGCCTGGGGGAAGGACGGAGAAAAAGGGGAGGAAAGAGGGGAGGGTGTGAGCCACGTCAGCATGCCTCACTTGCGGTGCGGATACGTCACCATGCATGGTTTGCTGCATATACATCAGCATGTCTGACTCACCTGGTGCAGCCACGTCAGCATGTCTGACTCACCTGGTGCAGCCACGCGAGCATGTCGCCAACGTATCGCAGCGGGTCGTGTGCATGCACCTCAATGGGACGAGGCATGCCGCCCGGCCCGCCACGCGTGAGAGCAGCGATGAATCGGCGGAAGAGTGCGTTGTGGCGCGTGTTGGCCACCTGGAACACAGGGGAACAGAGAGGGAGGCAGGTTTTGGCCGGGGAGGAGGGGGGGCTTCCGTGCCATAAAAAAGGGTTAAGGAGGGAAGGGGGATGAGAGCAGTGATGAAGAGTGCATTGTGAAATGGGGTAGAGAAGGTTGAAGAGGGAACGGACGGATGGAATGAGAGCAGCAATATGCAATGTGACTATTGAGTTGAAAATACAAAGATAGCAGCAATAATCAATGTGACCGACAGTTTTCGCGCCACTCCAGTTGAAATGAAAGTCTTCATACACACACTCTCAGACGCTTTTGAAACGTGCGCTTTGCGAACTACTCACAGTGCAAGTTCTAAGAGTGTTTGAGAGTGTGTATGAAGGCTTTTATTTCAACCAGAGTGGCATGAACCAGCTAGTCACAAGAAGTGAAGAGCAGTGCAGCAAAGGTGTGCATGCGGGCAGCACTGTGTGAACATACAGTCTCAATGTGAAAGGAAGCGAGAAGTAGGGCAGCACATCATGTCCTTGCTGCAACTAATCCCCAGTGCAGCACCTCACCTCCTCATTGCACAACCACCAACACACATTACACCACAAACACACATTACACCACAAACACACATTACACCACAAACACACATTACACCACAAACACACATTACACCACAAACACACATTACACCAAAAACACACATTACACCACAAACACACATTACACCACAAACACACATTACACCACAAACACACATTACACCCTCTGTGCAGTAGTGGAAGAGCACAGGGCGGTCCATGAGGCAATGCGCTTCAGTGTGCAGCACAGGGCGTCGGCCCACCCGCTCATCTCCTCAGTGCGCCTATCACCTCACCTCCTCTGTGCAACAAGTCCCCAGCGTCTCACCTCACCTCCTCTGTGCAGTAGCGGAAGAGCACGGGGCGGTCCTTGAGGCAATGTGCTGCCGTGCGCAAGAGGGGACAATCAGGTCACCGTTTGGACATCACACGCTGCCAGACTACACCCTTTTCGGTCCACCACCTCACCTCCTCTGTGCAGTAGCGGAAGAGCACAGGGTAGTCCTTGAGGCAATGCACCGCTGTGTGTGCACAGCAAAGAGGGTTTGGGTATAAAGCCGCCACATCAGCTCACCTCCTCGGCGCACCCACCACCTCACCTCCTCTGTGCAGTAGCGGAAGAGCACGGGACGGTCCTTGAGGCAATGCGCCGCTGTGCGCAACAGAGGGCCCACTTCCGGTGTGTCCCCGTCGCTGTCACCCAGACTGCGACACTCCGCCTGCACCCACCTGGGGAGGGATGAGAGAGGGAAAGAGGGAGGACGGGAAGAGAGAAATGCGGAGTGGAGAGGAGGGCATGCATGCGTGTGCAGTGCAGTGCTTGTGCTTTGAGTGCAGTGCTTGTGCTTTGAGTGCAGTGCAGCAGAGGGCGGACATCAGGCGTATCCCTTGTTGTCCCCCAGGTTGCGACACTCTGACTGCACTCAGCTGTTGAGGGGAATGAATGGTGCAGTGAGGGGAGGTGGGAGCGGGTGGGGAGGTGGGAGAGTGAGGGGAGGCAATTCGCCCCATGGACTGGTGCTGGAGTGTCTAAGCCCTGGAGTCATTATCCATAGACTTGTGCTCTTAACAACCCTCGCCTTTCCCCTTTCCCCAGATCCAGCCTTCCCCAGGTCCAGCCTTAACTGCATAGTCACTCATACGCCCCTTCCTGGTACACGGCCATCAGATCCTTCAGCTCTCGCTCTTAGCACCCCTCATTCCTCCCCTCTCCCACAATCGTCTCCCCATATCCAGCCTTCCCCATGTTCACCCTCACCTGCATAGTCGCTCATACGCGCCCTCCTGGTACACGGCCATCAGATCCATGAGCTCCAGTCCCGCCCTCTGAGGGGAGATGGGGGGGGGGATGGGGGGAGGTGGAGTGGGGAAAGGAGGGAGGAAGAAGGGGATATGCGAGGTGAGTTTTGAGTAAACTCAAAAGTCCCCCTCCTGGTACACGGCCATCAGACCCATGAGCTCCAGTCCCGCCCTCTGAGGGGAGGAGTGGAAGAGGGGGAAACGCGGGAAAAAGGGGAAATGACGGTATGCCTGATGGTGTAACTCAGTCAGCTGCCTTACAACCGGCCATTCGACCCCTGAGCTCCTGATTGAGAGCCTCTGAGAGGAAATGCGACTTTTGAGGCGCCTCGAGATTTGTCCAAGGAAAAAATTGAGCCTTTAAGATGGGGGGCTGGGAAGGCGGGAGAGGTTGGCAAGGGAGGCGAATAGCACCCAAAAATTGAGGGAGTTTTCATGAATGTTCACAAAGACAAGGTGTATTTTGAGTCGACTCAAAATACAAAAATTGAGGGAGTTTTCATGTATGTTCACAAAGACAAGGTGTATTTTGAGTCGACTCAAAATACAAAAATTGAGGGAGTTTTTATGTATGTTCACAAAGACAAGAGAACTAATAGCACCACAAAAAGATACGGGAGTTTTCGTGCATGTTCACAGATATCAGTAAAATGTAAGGGAAGGTGTGAGGTTCAAGGCTACAAATGGGGTGGTAAAAGGGCAAATACCTGGTGGTGAGTGCGCAGCAGCAGTTTGCAGTTGGCATGGATCTCATGCACTCGGTTCAGCGCCTCAAAGAACTTCTCACTAATCTCGTCCTCTCGCAGTGCTTGCACCTGAGGGGATGTGGGGCAAGGATGGGAGCAAGAGAGACGGAAACAGGAACACAAGGCAGCAAGACAGGGACGGATATGACAGCCATACATCTCATGCACTCGGTTCAGCGCCTCAAAGAACTTCTCACTAATCTCGTCCTCTCGCAGTGCTTGCACCTGAAAACATGAGGGGTAGGTAGGGACGAGAGCAAGAGAGATATAAACAGGGAACACGCTCAGGTAGTCAGCTCGGATAGTAACCAGGTCTGATAGAGTTTGGTTAGACTGGGGCAACAGCTGCTTGCAACGCACAGTGGTGGTAACCAGCTCTGCTAGTAACCAGCTCCAGTGGTAACCAGCTCTGATAGTAACCAGCTCTGGTGGTAACCAGCTCTGATAGTAACCAGCTCTGGTGGCAACCAGCTCTGATGGCAGGCACAACTCTCTCACCTCCTGTGGCGAGAGTTGGTAGCTTCTGAGGAAGGCTGCAACCAGCTGCTGGCGGCGCACGGTGGTAACCAGCTCCAGCTTGAGCCTCTCTGTTGCCAACACCATGTCTCCTGTGGTTGATGCACACGTGGTTAGTGCAGCACCGATTCTGGGTGGAAGGGGAAGAGAGAGTAGGGCAGTTTGATTGAGCATCTCTGTGGGGCACGGTGGTAACCAGCTCCAGCTTGAGCCTCTCTGTTGCCAACACCATGTCTCCTGTGGTTGATGCACACGTGGTTAGTGCAGCACCGATTCTGGGTGGAAGGGGAAGAGAGAGTAGGGCAGTTTGATTGAGCATCTCTGTGGGGCACGGTGGTAACCAGCTCAAGCTTGAGCCTCTCTGTCGCCAGCACCATGTCGCCTGTGGTTGACGCACATGTGATCAGTGCCGCGCCGATTCTGAGTGGAAGAAAAAGAAGCGGGAGCAGATAGTAGCAGGGAAGAGCAGATGGAAAGCAGAGCAGATTGAGCCTCTCTGTTGCCAGCACCATGTCTCCTATGGTTGACGCACATGTGGTTAGTGCAGCACCGATTATGACTGGAAGAGAAAGACAGAAGAAGTAAATGAAGTCTGGCTAACAGTCTCTGTCAGGCTAGCAAACCTGTTTATATCGATGCAACAGTAAATGAGGATGTAGAGGCATCTTTAGCTTGACGATCAGGTCAGTTGTCGCAGCTATGTTACCATTCTCAGCCATGGTAACAGTCCCTGGCAGGTTAGCAGTTTCTGTCAAAGTGCATTGGGACAGAAACCCTGACACTGTCAATCAAATGTGACTGTACACAGAATCTAGCAGACGGGGGGGAAACAAGGAGTGGCAAACCAACCAAGCCTTGAGATCTACCAGGTGCAACCAACCAAGCCTTGAGATCTACCAGGTGCAACCAACCAAGCCTTGAGATCTACCAGGTGCAACCAACCAAGCCTTGAGATCTACCAGGTGCAACCAACCAAGCCTTGAGACCTACCAGTTGCATCGTGTGCTCTTGGTGAGACCGTGAGACCAGTACTACTAGGTCAAAACTAGGCATGACACACGATACAAGCTACAGGGGAGTATACATGCCACTTCCCCCACGCGCTCACCTGTCGCAGCACTCTGCAAGGCCCCGAACCTCTGCCTCTACCACATCTAGCGCCTGAATGAGAGGGGGAGGGAACGGGGGGGAATGGGGGGAAGGTGGGGGAAGCGGGGTGACGGGTGGTAAGAAGAATTGGGGGGAGGAAGTAGGGAATGTGGGGATCAGGACGACTTGCAGATGCAGACTCGAAGACGGAGGGAGATGCAGATGCAATAAACCGTTCGAAATCAGATGCGTCTTGGTGCACGTTTCTGAAACTTCTACTGTCCTTATGAATCGGTTACTGTCATGTCGACTCGCTATTGACTCATGATTCGCTATTGTCGTAATGCCAGCTTGTTGCCATGAACAGCATATGCCAGGCCTTCCATCATGATTCGCTATTGTCATAAAGCCCATCTGGTACCTCCTGAGCAGCTTCCGACGCCTGAAGAAATTCCTCGTTGATAGCCAATCCTCTCCGCGCAATCGTGGACTTCAAAGCGCGCCGATTCGCCAGCGAGTTTTCGCGGTAAAAGCCCGAAAGCGCGCCGAGCGCTGCCAGCAGCTCGGGGGAGTCCGTGCGCGTGTCGAGGACCTTGCGCAACTTGCGCGCAAGCCCGGCTGCGAGTGACGAGGAGGCGGAGGCGGAAGCACCCGCGGAAGCAGAGATTCCTGCGGAAGCTGAAATGGATGTTGATGAGGCGGAAGAGGTGGAGGTGGATGCGGAAGCCATATCGTTTGCCGAGAAACGGCAAGGCCGCTTACGCTATACCTAAGAGCTATCGGGAGTCACAAAAGGGTTCCCTATTATTCTACACGTCGCGGCGCGTCAACTTCTGACATCTCTTCCTCGAGCCTTGGGACGATCAGTGCCAGCCAAAAAGACAAGCGTGAGTGTGATCAGTGGGGGCCAGGCGTGGTGTGGAGCTCTGTTTAGCGTGCTTCTGATAGATGTGCTACGCTTCGAGACGATTTGTTTGCATATTACAACGGTTGGCCAAGGTTCAGATCTATAATGAACTGGTGAAGCTCTCGCCCTGAAGGTATCAGGTTTTCTGACATCCTACAACCTTGGGAACATCATTTTCGAGATTCAGCCTCGAGATTGGGAAACCAGACTAAACGGTCGCACACCCGCGTTACCACTTCGCTGGCCTGTTGTATGACTGCGATGCCTGCGGAGCTGAGATGGACGGCATGAGGTTACCACACGGGCCAACTCCAATGCTTCAAAGCTGGAAAATCAAGTCGCTAGAGAAATCTACAAATTATGACAAGCTCATGTATCAAGGAAAAACCTTCCAATTCTGGTAGTTTGGCACCAAATGCGAAAGTGCAGTGTGCGTGATCGGTTACACACACCAGCATACAAAACACTGATTGTGGGGTGGATGTTCACTCAAGGTGAAGTGGACTGGTAGGCACAATAGACTTCAGGGCACTCTTTGCAGGAGGTAAAGTGGCAGGAGGTTCATCCTCCTTTACTCGTGCATACACCTGCCACAGGATAACAGGGAGAACGCCTGAATCATACATGCACATAAACAGATAATAGCCCTTTACTGCATGTAAGGGAAATGTAACAAGCTCCAGAAATTTACACCTTGCAGTAACACCACCATGTACCACACTTGGGATGCGAATGGCTCTGGAGAATTACTTGTGTGCAAGGCAAGCTTAAGTGTGTCCCTTACCTGGCATGTTCTAGATGGCGAGAGAACGAGGAGAGAGCAGCAGCGGTTGTTGAAGTTTGTTTCCGGGCGGCCCGGAATGCCCTCGGGCGATGTGAAGTGGTCCACGTCATGGCCTACCTGCTCTCGGGCAGGGTAGGAAAAAAAAAGGGAGGAACCGACATCAGCTTGGAAATTATAGAGGAAGAGAAGGAAGTGAAGAAAATATGAAATAACAGAAGAACTCATTGACAGCCTTGCCTTTCATGTATCCCCGTGCTCTCTCCTCGGTACTCTAACCACCTCCTCTGCGCACCTTCCATTCCTCTGCATCCCCTCCTCTGGCCCCCCTCCTCTGCCCCCTCTGCTGTGCCCCCAAAAACCTGTCACTCCTATGAGCTTCCACTCACCCGTCCCTGGCCCCCGAATTCAATAGCATCACTGTCCAGCACCACCCGCCACTTGCCAGGCTCCTTGCACCCCACCTTGTAGCTGTGCGGGCAAGGGAGGGGGACGAGCGGTGAACGAGGAGAAGGGGGAAGAGTGAGTGAATGATAGTCGTAAGCACCACATGCCACTTGCCAGTCTCCTTGCACCCCACCTTGTAGCTGGGAGGGCAAGGGGGAGACAAAAGCACAGAGAGTGTGGGGAGAAACTGAGTAGAGGGGAGGATTTGGGCTAGGGTGAGTGCGTGAATGATAATCACAAGCACCACCCGGCTCCTTGCGTTCCACCTTGTAGCAGGGAGGGCAGGGGAGGGAGAAGAGGAAATCCTAGTGGGATGGAAGAGCAGCAAGGGACGTACCCCGCATAGGTTTTCATGGAATGGAAGTTGAAGAGGAAAAATGTACAGCAAGGGGAAGAGGGGGCAGCCATGTTGGTGTGACTTTTGAGAATTCTCAAAAGCAAGAGACGTACCCCGCATAGGTTGTCACGGGATGGAAGTTGAAGAGGAAAAGTGTACAGAAAGGGGAAGAGGGGAAAGGGGAAGAGGGGAAAGGGGAATGGTGAGCGTGCAAGAGCAGGTAGAGACGTACCCCTCGTAGGTGTTAGTGGGATGGAAGTTGAAAACGAAGAGAAGATCCCCTCTCTCAAACACAATGACCTGCACAGTAGAAGGGAGGGTGGAAGGAACAGGAAATCAGGTGTAAAACTACTTGAATATTCGGACAGAATCTGCACTGGAAAGGGGTGATGTGGAGTGGAAGGGTTATGAAAAGTGTTACAAAGTGATCGAGACGTTTCTTTAGAAACTTATCAGCCTGTGTTGTCGGAGCAAGTGCAGTCAGCAAAGCACTCATACTCACACTTCGCCACTCACACCCACACTCACACTCACACTCACACTCACACTCACACTCACACTCAAAATCCCACTCGCCTCACTCGTCCGCAGCGAGGCAATGCAGCTGGCAAAGCACTGAATTACACACTCATACCGCCACGCACTCACATGCACTCACTCACCCGACCCTTCTCGTCGGCACTGGACACGATCTGATGGTCCGCAGCAAGGAAGTGCAGCAGCGAAGGGCCCATACCGACACTCCAAATCTCAACCATACTCAGCCTCCCACTCCCATCCAAAATCGCTCACTCACCCGGCCCTTCTCGTCAGAACTGAACACGATCTGATGGTCCGCAGCAAGGAAGTGATACTTCTCTTCTCATGCCACATACACCGGGTGCTAGATGGTTCGTACTACCACACCTGCCCTCTCATTCTCATCAAAGCAGCGCACACACTCACCCGGTCCTTCTCATCGGCTCGGCACTGGACACAATCTGATGGTCCGTGGCCAGGAAGTGCAGCCAGCGAAGCACTGACATACACACGCATAGCCACATACACTACACGCACTTCCGCTCACTCACCCGGTCTTTCTCGTCGGCACTGGACACGATCTGGTGGTCCGCGGCCAGGAAGTGATACTTCTCATCCAGAGCGTTCATTGCTTGATCAAAGCAATTCATGTGCTGCCGGGAGAGGGAGCAGGGGGAAATGAGCGAGAGAAGGGGGGCATGTGTGGTCGTGATACTATCTGGTGGTCCGCAGCAAGGAAGTGATACTTCTCATCCAGAGCGTTCATTGCTTGATCAAACTGATTCATGTGCTGCACGAAAGAGAAAGGGAGAGAGGGAGAGAAGGGGGTTGTGAAGAAAATGAGGTTGGGAGAGTGTGAAGGGGAGAGTGTGCAGGACAGAGGCAAGCAAGTGGCACTTCTCATCCAGAGCGTGCATTGCTTTGTTGAATCGAACCGGTTGTCTAAAGTGAAGTTTTGAGACGTCTCAAAACCTCACTTTATACTAGTAATTTTTGAGGCGCCTTAAAAGACGCCTCATAACTTCACTTAATAGAAGTGGCACTTCTCATCCAGAGCGTTCACTGCCTCGTTGAGTTGAACCGGTTCATGTGCTGCGAGAAAAGGGCGGGGGGGAGTGGGACACGAGAGGGGGCGCCGCCGCCGCGCGTGGGCGATGGTGATGCTAGCTGATGGTCCGCGGAGAGCAATTGGTACTTTTCACCCAAAGCGATCATTGCCTGGTCAAACCGATTCATGCGCTGCATGAGAGTTGGGAGAGGGAGGGGGGTTGAGGGGAGGTAACGGGCTTGTGAGGAAGATGAGATCGGGGTGGGAGAGAGGGCAGGTCGGAGGGAAAGAAGTGAGGCAGACGAGGAGGGTGGGCAGGGAGGGTGGGCAAGGGAGGCAACTGGGCACCGCATTGCTCCCACCTGGTACCGCATTGCACCCACCTGGTACCGCATTGCACCTACCTGGTAGCGCAGCAGCTTGTCTCTGAGGTGCCACATTCGCCGGCAGCGGTCGTAGCTCCAGTTGTTGCCCTCACGAGGGAAGTCCAGCCACTCGGGATGCCCGAACTGATGAGGGATGAGGAATGAAGCAGAGGGGAAATAGGTCAGGGATTTATAGTGATAGTAGCACCAGTTGTTGCCTTCCCTGGGGAAATCCAGCCACTCGGGATGCCCGAACTGATGAGGGGAGGTGAGGGATGAGGATGGATGGAGGCAGAGAAGAGAAGGCGAGCGGCAGAGGTGGGACAAGAAACACCTAGGTCAGACAAATCTGCTACCGTCATATCATATCATATCTGCAAAGTCAAATCCACACAATCACACACATGTACCATACCATACCTACTTGGCCATGAGCTTGAGGTAGCCTCTTTTTTTTTTTTTTAATCTCCGATGACAACACGGCCACACCTTGTACAATCTCATCAATACAGTCACATCCGTATCCCGTACCTCATTGCCCATAAAGTTGAGGTAGCCATCGCCTCCCAGCGCCATGGTTATGAAATGAATCATCTAAAGAGGGAATGGGAAGGGAGGGAGGGAAGGGGAGAGGGGAGGATGAGAGAGAGGGGAGGGGAAGAGAGGAGAGGAGAGGCCGAGAAAGGTGTCTAAGTCGTCTGAATCAAACAGAGCTACGACAGAAAAGAGAAGTCTAGTTTTGAGGCGCCTCAAAACTGGGCAGAGGGGACGATTCATGTGGAGTTTACTTTTGAGAATTATCAAAGAAGTGGGGCAGAGAGGACGATTCATGTGGATTTATGTGAAGGGGAGAAAGGCATTGACAAAAATAAGAACTTGTTGAGACAGTTTTGACGAAACTTGGAGTTCGTCAAAACTGTTTTCGCCAAGGCAGCAACCCTCGCCACGGCAGGTGTTGGCTTCTAAAGCACTGACATGTGACATGCACATGTGTCTTTCATCCCTCAATCCATCTGCCCACCCCACACATCCACATGCATGCACGCACTCACACACACACTCTTCCCACAGCAGCTCACCTTGTGCAAGGCAACGCCCCTCTCCACAGCAGGGGTTGGCTTCTCAAGCACGGACATGTGGAAATACATGTCTGAGTCCATGAGCAGGAAGGCGAATGACTTGTCTCCCACCATGGACTGATGGGGGGAGGATGGGGTAGGGAGAGCAGGGCACAAGGAGTGAGGGTAACAAAAGCAGAAGTGGATTCTCAGACATGGACATGTGGAAATACATGTCTGAGTCCATGAGCAGGAAGGCGAATGACTTGTCTCCCACCATGGACTGGTGAAGATCAAAGGGAAATAGGGAGAAGGAGGAGAGGGGAGGGGAGGGGCGCCGGAGGGTGGAGGAGGGTGGTGAGAGAAGAAAACACATTACACAAGGGATGACAAGAGAAATAACAGCAGGGGTGGATGGAATGATGAGCATCACGTGGAAAAAACGACAAGAGAGGTACAAGGCTGCCTTGAGAATCCCACCTGCTCGTACATCTCACCTGCTCGTACATCTCACCTGCTCGTACATCTCACCTGCTCGTACATCTCACCTGCTTTTACATCTCATATGCTCGTACATCTCACCTGCTCGTACATCTCACCTGCTCGTACATCTCATCTGCTCGTACATCTCATCTGCTCGTACATCTCATCTGCTCGTACATCTCACCTGCTCGTACATCTCATCTGCTCGTACATCTCATCTGCTCGTACATCTCACCTGCTCGTACATCTCACCTGCTCGTGCTTCTCACCACACACAAAACAACTCTCCGTGAATCTCCGGTTCATCAGCGTCTGAACAATCAAAGCGTGCTCACCCTGTCATGCCTTTCAGCTACCACCTTGACCTCACCTGATTCTCATACAACTCACCTGGACATCTGATCTCACCTGGATTCATTAAAGAGCTCTCACCTGGTCGTGGCTCTCCGCATAGGCAACACATTTCTCCGTGTATCTCCGATTCGTCAGCGTGTGCACAATCTCCCGCATGCTCCACTCCTCGTCCCGCCGGTCCTTCAAATACTCGATCCAACGGTCAGGAATCGCCATCGCCAGCCTATAATCAAACCCCACCCCTCCGATCGGCACAGGCAGGCCCAGCGTCGGCATCCCCGACACATCCTCCGCGATCGTCGTCGCATCGGGCCTCACACCGTGAATCAGATCATTCGCGAGCATGAGATAAACCACCGCATCCACATCCGTAGACGTGGAGAAATACTCGTGATACTCCCCGGAAAACGACATCCCGATCCCCCGGTGGTGGTACAGCATGGAAGTGACCCCGTCGAAGCGGAACCCGTCGAACTGAAACTCCTCGAGCCAGTACCGGAGGTTGGAGAGGAGGAACCGCAGCACCTCCCAGTTAGAGTAGTTAAAGCACCGGCTGTCCCACAGCTTGTGATACCCCCGCTCGCCCGTGTGGAAATACGAATCGGCGGCCGATTGCCCGAAATCAAACCCGTTGAGCCCGTCAGACACATTGTTGCTCGCGTGGGAGTGAATCAAATCCATGAGCACGCGAATCCCGAGGGAATGCGCCGTGTCTACTAGGTACTTGAGGTCCTCGGGGGTGCCTGATCGGGAGCTGACAGCGAAGAAGTTGGTAACGTGGTAACCAAAGGATGCGTAGTAGGAGTGCTCGGCGACAGCCATGAGCTGGATGGTGTTGTAGCCGGCAGCCTTGATGCGAGGCAGCACTGAGTTGGCAAACTGCACGTACGATGCCACTCGGGGCTCCTCCGAGCTCATCCCCACGTGGGCCTCGTATATGCGTGGGGCGACGGGCTTGGGGGGACGCGGGCACTTGAACTGGTACCTGCAATGCAGGGAACGGAAACAAGGGGATGGGGAAAGGCGACAGGGGGTGGGAGAGGGTGTGAGTGTGTGGTCACTGAAATAGTCGTGTTGGATGGGGTTGGTGAGAGACGAGCCGGCCATGAGCTGGAGGGTGTTGAAGCTGCATGTAGGGGGATAAATGGGACTCTGGAGGCGGCCTTGATGCGTGGGGGAACGGAGTAGGTGAATTCGAGGCTGCATGTAGGAGGATACACGGGGCTCCTCTCCTCCGAACTCATGCCCACGTGCACCTCCGAGCTCATGCCCACGTGCACCTCCGAGCTCATGCCCACGTGCACCTCCTCGTCGATGCACGGGTGAGGGGCTTGGGCGGACACGGGCACTTAGTGGGGAGAGGAAGGGGGGCAGGGGGGGGATAGGGAGAGGGGCGTGGATCCATGCTGCTGAGTTGGGATGTGCTGCACCCACCCAGGGTACCTCCCACAGGCTAGCTGGATCCATGCTGGGTGGGTTTAACGGAACCCAGGAATCAAACGAGCTCACTCACCTCTCATTAGCAGGAGGGTCCCAGTAGATGCCATCGTAGCACGCGCCCATCTTCCCCGGCTCAGCAGTGGCCCATTTGATCCAAGCTGGGATGCGCTCCACCCACCCGCCGTCCCCCTTCTGCAGCCGGATCTTCACCCGTGATCCGTGCGGAATTGCCGGGCGGCCGTCCCTGTCTGGTAGCTGCACGGACCACACGCCGAAGTGGTTGCGCTCCATCCAGCATGACTCGCCGTTCCACCTGTTGAAGTCTCCCACTAGCTGGGCCGCCCTGTGATTGTCAAGGGGGCGGAGAGGGGTGGGGGAAGGGAGTAAATAAGGAGGTTCTCTGTCTGGTAGCCGAACAGACCACATGCCGAAGTGGTTGCGCTCCATCCAGCATGACTCGCCGTTCCACCCGTTGAAGTCTCCCACTAGCTGGGCCGCCCTGCGATTATAGGGGAGCCAGGAAGGGGGAGCGGGGACCAGCTTTAATTTAATTGTCCCATACCTTGTGCCAATTGTCGCACACCCAGTGCCAATTGTCGCACACCCTGTGCCAATTGTCGCACACCCTGTGCCAATTGTCGCACACCCTGTGCCAATTGTCGCACACCCTGTGCCAATTGTCGCACACCCTGTGCCAATTGTCGCACACCCTGTGCCAATTGTCGCATACCCTGTGCCAATTGTCGCACACCCTGTGCCAATTGTCGCATACCCTGTGCCAATTGTCGCATACCCTGTGCCAATTGCCGCATACCCTGTGCCAATTGCCGCACACCCTGTGCCAATTGTCGCACACCCTGTGCCAATTGTCGCACACCCTGTGCCAATTGTCGCACACCCTGTGCCAATTGTCGCACACCCTGTGCCAATTGCCGCACACCCTGTGCCAATTGTCGCATACCCTGTGCCAATTGTCGCACACCCTGTGCCAATCCTTGTCATGAGACCATGTGGCAGCAGGGTCTCTTGAAATGAAAGCACACGTTGCAGCAGGGCGTCGAATCAAAGCCCACATCAACCTTTGCAAGTGCAACTCGCGTGGCAGCAGGAGCCCACTCGCGGTAGACTGCGGCATCCATCTCCCACATAAAACCCATCTTCACTAGTGAGAATTTCCCACTTTTGAGAAAACTAAACTTTTGGAGAATTCCTTTTAGTGACTTCAACTCACGTGGCAGCAGGAGCCCACTCGCGGTAGACTATGGCATCCTTCTCGCGTGTGAAGCCCATCGTCTCATACCCTGGCCACGCACAGGAACACCGAAACCACAGCAAACAACTGGTAAATTCCAAAGACTAATTACCTAGTACAGTACCAACGTGCCAGGCGAAGACTTGGGAGGGAAGAATGCAGCAGTAACAAACAACCACTGCATTCGATGTGAGACGGCCTGAGTAACAAACGACCTCAGGAAAGTGCTCCAGCCCCCCCCTCGTGCTGCTCCAGCCCCCCTCGTGCTGCTCCAGCGCCCACTTGAGCTTCAGGAACTGAGCGCAGCAGTAGCACAGTTGGGGGGCTCATGAGCCGCCAGCAGCAGAGCAGGGAGGGCCGGAGTGAAGGAGGTGCCAGGAAAACAAAGGCCTATGGGGTGCCTATCATATCATGATGTCTCACCTCGGGAGAACTGCTCCAACCCCCCTTCATGCTGCTCCAGAGCTCGCTTCAGCTTGAGGAACTGGGCGTAGCGGTAGCGCAGGTGGGGCTCGTGGGACGCCAGAAGAGGGTCGTGCTTGAGCACAGCCAGCCCGTCTGGGGAATACTCCACTTGGTTGAAAATAATGGGTGCATCGTCCCTTGCGGTGATGCCTGGGTTGTCGCCTGGAGCAGAGCGGAGGGGCAGCAGGCGGCGCACTGGGAAGACTGTGCGGCTTACATGGCACCGAGTGCTCTGAAAGGGGGAGGGGAGAGGGGGGTGAGAGGAGTGGAGTGGGAGGAGTGAGAGGTAGGTGAGACGAGGCCAGGCCAGCAGAGGGTCGGCCTTGAGCACAGCCAGTCCATCAGGGGAGTACTCTCCACCTTGTTAAAAATAAGGAGAGCGTCATTCCTTGCGGTGATGCCTGCGCTGTCACCCGGGGCAGAGCGGAGGGGCAGCAGGCGGCGCACTGGGAAGACCGTGCGGCTTACATGGCACCGAGTAGTCTGAGAGGGGTGCAGGAGGGTGGAGAGGGATGGAGAGGAATGGAGATGGGAGAGAGGTGGGTGAGAGAGAAGAGCAGAGGGCAGAGCGCAAGGGCAGCTGGCGGCGCACTGGGAAGACTGCGGCTGGCTTACATGGCACCGGGTGGTCTGAGCAGGGTAAGCAAGGGTGGTGGACGGGGGAATGGGGAGAAGGGTGAGATGAGGGTGAGAGAGAAGAGCAGAGAGCAGAGCGCAGGTGTAGCAAGCGGCGCACTGAGAAGACTGTGTGGCTCACATGGCAACGAGTGGTTTGAGCGGGGTGGAGGAGGGTGGTGGATGGGGGTGGAGGGGAATGAGATGGGTGGAGAGGGGTGGGAGGTGGATGATGGAACAAAGCAGAGAGCAGAGCGCAGCGGTAGCAGGCGGCGCACTGGGAAGACTGTGCGGCTTAGAGGGGTGCACGGGGGTGGAGGGGGGTGGAGGGGGATGAGAAGGGTGGAGAGGGGTGGAGAGGGGTGAGAGGAGGATTAGAGAACAAAGCAGAGACCAGAGTGCAGCGGCAGCAGGCGGTGCACTGGGAAGTCTGTGCGGCTCGCATGGCACCGGGTGGTCTGAGATGGGGAGAGAGGGGAGTGAGACGAGTGTGAGAGGTGGGTGAGAGAGGGTGAGAGGAGTGTGAGAGGTGGGTGAGAGGAGGGTGAGTGGAGGGTGAGAGGTGGGTGAGAGGAGGGTGAGTGGAGGGTGAGAGGTGGGTGAGAGAGGGTGAGAGGAGGGTGAGAGGTGGGTGAGAGGAGGGCGAGATGGGGGTTGGGGGTGAGAGGGGAGAGGGGAGAGGAAAGAGGGAGGGGAGAAGGGACACAGGGAGAGGAGAGGTTGCCAATATAAAGAGAGAGAGAGAGAGAGAGAGAGAGAGAGAGAGAGAGAGAGAGAGAGAGAGAGAGAGAGAGAGAGGGAGAGAGAGAGAGAGCCCTTGCTTTTTCCCCAGCTCCAACCCTCACTAAGCAGCAATCCCACATCAAGCGGCGGGCTGTTCCTTGCTTCCTCATACCACCCGCAGAAACCTATCAGGCTAGTACCCCCTCCGCTCCCCCTCTTCGATCTTTGCCCTTCATCCCTCGATTCTGAACCCATCCAAGCACTCACCCCAACACCGCTCCACATCAAACAGCCGGGCCCCTTGCTCCTCCGCGCCACCACCTGCAACAACCCACTCCTCCCCCCCTGACGAGAATAGCGAGACGAGACGAGGGAGACGAGGAGAGGAATAGGGGAAGAGAGAGTCAGAAGCCAGTGTCAGCTGGAGAAACGAGAGGAAACAGAGTTTAAAAAAAAAACGGTGACGAGCAATTGGGAGGGGTTAAGAGAGGCGGTACGGGGAACAGGGTTACGGGATTGAAGCTGAAAACACGTGTTTGATGTTACTTGACGCGGCAAAATCGCAGGCCGTTGAGGTCTTAAAGAGGAGAGGGAGTGATACCCTAGGGTTACGACGGTGGGGAGACGTATGCACTAGAGAACGGAACCACCGGCGCAGTGCAAATCCATAACGAAAAAAAGACGTTTCTTAGGTTACCTGAAGCGGCAAGCCCGCAGGTCATTGCACCGTTAGAAAAACACGTCTGTGATGCTACCCGAGACCTGAAGCAAAATGCACGAATGAAGTTACCTGACGCGGCGAAGCGACAGGTCGCTGTAACCTTCGCGCACAGGGTGTGAGACCCGAGAGGTACGACGGAGTAGGGGCGACACGTGCACTTGAGCACGGGAACATGGGTGCAGGCCGATAGCAAACCACGCCAAGAAACACACAAGCCTAAAGGAAGGGGAAAGCGGGACGCCTGAAGTTAGCCTAGCACGGCAGGAGGAGGTGCAGCAGCAAATTTGCTGTGCGATGACCTAGATCAGTTCTTGAATCCGCGACGACCTAAACCGAATCAAGAATCAGCTGTTGACAAGGCCTCCAGAATTTGCAATCGCCGAAAGGGTGAGAGTCTAGACCTAGATCGCTGAATCTAGCGGAATTGCTAGGATCTTGAAAGCCCGAATGAAACGAAAAAACAACTCTAGTTCTGGAGGCCCGTTCGGGCACCAGATGCTCGATTCCCCTGAAACGCAGACTCCAACCGCGCGGCTGCAAGGAGGTTCGCAGGAGGCGCACCTCCTCCCCCTCCGCTGGTTCCGGGAGCACTAGCTGAAGCGGCAGCGGCGGCGGCGGCGGCGGCGGCGGCTGCGAGTCGTCTGGCTTCAAAATACTCTTCCCGGTCCTCGGGTTTGAGCTCAATTCGCGTGGGATTGCGACGAAGCATCGGTGGCGAGCGTCAAGCGACCATCGGTATTGCAATTACTAGTAAATCGCTGGACCGGTCGTGCAATCGTTGCTCAGTCGCCCGATGAATAACTAACGGAGAAAATTGAATGGCTTCAGCGTTGGACGTTCAACGGGTACCCACGCTGCAAACCAGCTGAGCTAGTCTCGTGCCTTATCCGCCTGGTTTGCCGTCGGACAGAATTACCAGTGAGAAACACACACGGGATTTAGGATACTAGCAGCTGGATAGTCTACCCTGAACAACAAATGTCAATGCGTCTGGTCTGGCGTCTACTCTGGCCTTCTCTCTCGCGCCCTCCACTCGAGCTCGGATGGTTGGATGGTGGAGTTCGAACCTCGATGTTGTTCTGCTTCGCGACGAAGTTCACTCTGGGTTACCATCTACCCATCGCATACAGAATGTTCGTTTCCGTACCTCCCCAGGGTCGTCGTCACCTTCAGCTGTCAGGCTGGCGGGGAATGGTCCAGACCCGCGGAGCCCGAGACGAGAGAGTCTTCTAGAGCAACCTGATTCGCGGAGCGCGGGGGGAAGTGGGAGGGAGAAATGCCAGGCAACGGGGAAGCCGCGCGGTGCGCACCCTATCGCAAGCGGAGCCCTTGCCAACCGCGGGGACCTATGGAGGGTAATTCACAACAAATGCCTTACAACGAGGAAATACACGCGATACGCGCAGCAGTTTGTTGTTAATCATACAATACTTCCTGCAATTATAGTAATGAGATTTTTGTTGGATGGAAGTACGGTCTCTGCACAGCTGGTCTTCATCTCACTAAAAACGGTTACATTACACCCACTGCTGATCAGCGGGGGCCCCATTATGAAATTTTCTTGACCGCAGTCACTAAATGGTTGGGGCTTTCCTTTCCACAGTTACCGTACTACCAGTACACGGTCCCAGGATGTCTGAGCTAATGATCTCCAAACCGAATTTACCCAAGTCGTTGCCCTGGGTTGTACGTGATGCGCATCATACCGAAGTAACAACAGATTATATTTACACATCAGAAGTATCATCGGGAGCATTGCTGCAGACGCATCACCGGCTCTGGTCCCAGAGAGGCATCATCAACCAACACGCCAACAAAGACAGCACCAGTGGGGCACCCAATAATCGGTTTTCAAGGCGCCTAAAAAGTATCATCAGCCCTGGTCCCATAGGGACGTTAACCTGGACGCCAGCAAAGCCAGCACGAGCAGTGAGAGCGACAGCTGCCCTCTTTGAAGCACCTAAAAAATCACATCTGTTGCAGAAGCCTCCCTCGTCTCATCAGCCCTGGTCCCAGAGAGGCGTCAACCTGGACGCCAGCAGAGCCAACACGAGCGGTGAAATCGACAGCTGTGCCGCAACCTGCCCTCCCAGCCACACCACCACCGCCACCAGCGCCGCCGTCCTATGGCAAAACATGGGCCCTGCAACCCACTGAACCGCACTCAACCCCACAACCAGCACCAGCCCCCTCACTCCCCCCAAGAACCACGCGACAAGCCCTGCAATCTGGTACCCCCGTTGGTTCCCCCACATGAGGGCAAAGGTCAGCACCCCTAGCAACCGCTCTGTACCGAACGCTGCCGCACAGGAGACGAGAAGGGAGAGGGCGAGAAGGAGTGAGAGGATGGAGGAGAGGGACTGGAAACCGCCGGGGAAGAGCGAGCGGAAGCGGAAGAGGGCGAAGCGCCAGGTGTCGTCCACCCATTGGCCGAGGAAAACTTGTGAGAAGGAGAGAGGGAGGGTGAAAGGTTCCAAAGCTGCACGCCTGCTTTCTTGTTCTCGCTCTTCATCCTGCTGCTGCCAGCTGGTGCGATCCCATTCGTCCTCCTCCTGGTGACGTGGACGTGTGCGGCTGCTGCCCCTGCCGCCTTGCTTTTTGTCACGCTCTTTCCAATACGAGCGCCTGTGGCTATAATTGTGGCTATATCTGTTACTGTACCCGGAGCTATAGCTATTGCTGTGGCTGTGTCCATATGATGATCTCTGCGCTTCCCATTGCTCCCAGCTGGCTGCCCCTCCCTGTTCTGGCTGCTGCTGCTGTTCTCGTTGTTGTTGTTGTTGTCCCTCCTGGTGAGTGCTGTGTGAGCCGTATGTGGCGCTGTTTGCACTCTCAGACCAGGCATATGAGTAAGGTTGCTCTTGGCTGTGTGCTGCTGCTCTTCGTGTCCGTCTCCCCCGCGACCGCATCTGAGCATAGTTGAGCGGCCAGCGGAAAAAGGCAGCAGAATCCTGGGACGAATCCTCTGCCGCTGCTCCTGCTGCCCCTGTTCCTGCTGCTGCTGCTGCTGCTGCTATCACCAGGCTCTGCTCTTGATGCTGATGCTGATGATGCTGATGATGCTGTTGATGCAGAGAAAGCGGATGAGTGCATGTTGCGAGGCCGGTAGGACGTGGACGGGGGTACCCACCAGTCTCCTTCACCATGCGGGGATGCAGACGAGGAGGAAGAAGGTGACGCTGCTGATGCTGCCGCAGCAGAAGCAGAGGGACGTCTGTGTTGGTTCCAGAAAGGCCTAAAGTCGGTTGCTGCAGCAGCTGCTGCGGCTGCTGGTGGCAGAGTGAAGTCGTACTGCTGTCGCTGCTGGTCATCCGATAGGACCTGCTTGGTGAGAACGTTCAATAGCAAGAGATGGATGCAATAAGTATGAACGCATACGAATCACAAGTGATAAGTAATGGATTTTGGGACGTCTCCCACGTGGCATGCATGTGAATCCTATTCAGCACAGCATCTGATTTGCCCTGAAATTACAAATCAGTGCAACATGGCATTTGTACAACATGGCATTTGTACAACATGGCATTTGTACAACATGGCATGAGGGCATCACAACGGATTTCTCTTCAATCCCATGTACAGATAACGGAATGAGAAAACACCCCCCATATGAGAACCCAGAACGCCTCACAAGTTCTCATCACCTCTCATCACCTCTGATCGCCTCTCATCACCTCTGATCGCCTCTCATCACCTATGATCGCCTCACATCACCTCATAAGCAGCCAGAATGGCTCGGAACGCCTGGGTAGACTGTTGGTGGTGGGACACGTCGGGATGACACTGGAGGGCGGGAAGAGGGAGGGCGGGAAGAGGGAGGGCGGGAAGGAAAGAGAGAGAGGCGGGGAGAGAGCACAGATTTCACGAGATGCATCACAGATACAAATGAAGGTGCAACGCCTTTGAGTCGACTCAAAAGGAGATGCATCACAGATACAAATGAAGGTGCAACGCCTTTGAGTCGACTCAAAAGGAGATGCATCACAGATACAAATGAAGGT